AAAAATATTAATACTTATAAAAATTAGACATAATATACTCAAAATACATGGCATTTGAGCATATTGAACTCGAGCTCAAGTTTATAAATTAATTATTATCAGGTCGAGGCTAGTCGAGTTAGCTTGAGTATATTAGTTTTCTAATCGACATCTAACAAAGTCAATATCAGAATATCTAATAAGCATAAATCCATGCATAGCCTTTGTATGCTTGTCCGCGGAGGTGTAGTACGATAAAGAGCATTCTTACATGCATTCGTCTATGGTAGTATTGTAGGGAGGTCTTGTGCGATGACTATTGAGTAAAAAAAAATGCAAATGTGAATAATGCAAGTGATATTTTCGTTTAGGGGCCGAATTTGATCCTTAATAATCAAAATTTAGATGTCAATAACAGTAAAATGTATTTATCTTTAAATTTGAAATAATTTATTCAAAAAAAACAACAAGATTATAAATCAATAGCTGCAGTTCGAGTTCACGTGCACTAAACATCAATTTCAAACATCATTTAAAAGTCCGTATTGAGGTTGGGACGTGTTAGGTTTCTAGTTCAAAGTAATCAGGCTCAGAGGGGATAGCCATCCCCCAAATCAATCTCGCAGACATCAATTCATATTATATCTGAATAGCTTAAATTTATGAAAAGCATAACGTCCCGATGGTGGGACAATCCAAAATCTCCTACTCTCTTTCTATCTTTATCTTTCTCAATGAAAAAAAGGAATATTTTCTTAGTGTTTTACCTCAAAAAGATGACGAGGTCAGCGCGAAATCTCTGACGAAATGGGTTAGATCATCATTTTGTATTATATATGGATAGCTGAAAATTTGTGAAAAGTATAAACGATGATGAGAAGATAAAAAGAGGACGACAACGTCAAAAGATGGATCTGCGTATCGCTGCTTTAGATATGGCGGGACAAGTCGAGATCTGAAAAGGATTTCTTGTTTGTCCTTCCATGTTTGAAATAGAAACGCCCTATGAAGTTGGGCCATTAGGGTTAGCCGTCGTCTGCCGAGGAGAAATTAGGAAACTTAAAAACTCCAACTCGTTCTTCTCTTCTCGAATGAAAGGTCTGTTGTGATTTGTCATCCAAGATGTGTACGCTCCCCACGTGATTCCTGCTCTATCGTTTCCGCGTGTTGTGGACTGTGGGAAATTCAGAACCACGTGTGCGCCCTTGGGTGGAATTCGAATTGCAACAATAATGTACCCGGGGCTCACACTTCGGAAATTTTGTGTTGATTACTGAAGTTGGATATGGAGGACAACCCCCAATGCGCTGAAGTTTCGACCATGTACCGGGAAAAAACAAAACACTTGAGAAAACTCATATGCATGTATCTTGTCCTTTGACATCCGACTGATTCCGATTGAATGTGGTGGTCCTTGCGGCCCATAAACACCTGATAAGTACAAGAGTGCTTCGTACCTAAATCCGTGTGAAGAGAATAGACATGCTTATCACTTGAACAATCACGTCTTAAATATATTCAAACTGGTTGAAAAAGGTCTAAGGCTCCGTTCGTTTGCCGGAAAATATTCTCCTTTTGAAAAATATTTTCCCGGAAGTCATTTTCCTGAAAAATGTTTTTCTGGAACACAATTCTCTCGGTGTTCGGCTAAAATTTGAAAAAGTTTCGGAAAATATTTTACGGTGTTCGGCGACCGCCGTCCGGAGCGTCCGGCGGCCGTCGGCGGGCGGCGGCGGCGGCGGCGGTGACCGGCGATTCACTTCCTCTCCCACGGAAAACATTTTCCCTCCCATGGGCAATTTTGCCTTCACTTTAGGAGAAAATGATTTCCTCTTTGTGAAAAGAGGAAATCATTTTCCTCAAAATAATGAAGGATTTTGGGGTGGGAAAGGAAAATATTTTCCCACGGAAAATATTTTCCGCCCCCTAACACCGGAAAACGCGGAAAATGTTTTCCGGAAAAAAAATTTTCCGGAAACGAACACAGCCTAAGCATGCGTTTGTTTTTCGATAAGCATGTTCATTGTTCATCCTCTTCTTCATCTTATTATTTATTTATTTCACGAAAAATAAATAATTTGAAAAATATGTTCTTATAAATTAGGGAAAATACTACAAAAACCTTTAAATTATGCCACTTATGACAAATTTACCCTGAATTTTTTTTTTGTGACACGAAAAATCCCAAACTATACCACTTGTGATAAATTTACTCTGAACTTTTTTTTGTGACACAAAAAATCTCAAATTATGTCACTTGTGACACGTTTACCCCACAATACTTTGGCCCATGGACATTTTCGTCTTTTTCCTTTTTTATTTTTTTTTCCTTCTCTCTTCCCTCCACCGGCCATGGCAGAGGGAAGCTGGCGAGGGCCCTCACCCTCACTTGAGCCGGAGTCGGGCGAGGGTGACCTCGCCCGACGTCGGCGAGGGTCGCCCTTGCCAAATCCGGCGAGGGCAGCCCTCGCCCAGCACTGGCAAGGGTCCTCGCCGGCTTCCCTCCACCATGGTCGGCGGAGGGAAGAGAGAAGGAAAAAAAAAAGAAAAAGGAAAAAGTCGAAAATGCCCATAGGCCAAAGTATTGTGGGGTAAATATGTCACAAGTGGCATAGTTTGGGGTTTTTCGTGTCACAAAAAAAAGTTCAGGGTAAATTTGTCACAAGTGGCATAGTTTGGGGTTTTTCGTGTCACAGAAAAAAGTTCAGAGTAAATTTGTTATAAGTGACATAGTTTAGGGTTTTTGGTGGCATTTTCCCCATAAATTATCACTAGTATCACCTACAAAAAAGAAAGAAAAAAATTTCACTTGTACAAAAATGGTCAAATATAAATTGTTGTCGATTTGACTAATAATTTTAAGTAATACAAGTGATATTTTCGGGAAAATGTTTTACAAATCATTTGTTTTATGCGAAACAAACAAAGCCCATGGTTCGTTTGTTTGAAGAAAAATTGTTTTCAGGAAATTATTTTCCGACTTTATGGTATTTGGTTGACGAAACCTAGTCGATCTACGGAAAATGTTTCCATACACGAAACAACAAGTTTAGAGTGGAAAAATATAACTTCCCCAAATGGCATAAACCACTGAACAAAAGAAAACTAACAATTTTCCTTGAATATGAATTTTATGAAAGATATTTTTCGTTATCATAAAGTTTTCAATGAAAATTGGGAAATACTTTGTGATAAAGGAAAATACTTTCTGAAAAATCATTTTTCAAGAAAAGGTTTTCCCTTTTTAGGTTAGGAAATTCATTTTCTTAACTTGAAGCACACATATCTTCTATGACCATAAATAGTTTTCCGTTAATTAATCATTTTCAACAAACCAAAGTCCAGAAAACTAATTCGCGAATTTTTTTTTCACTTAAACAAACACACTCTAAGGGTGCACTTGTTTAACAGAAAAATCAATGATAAAGGAAAATGATTTTCCGAAAAGCATTTTTTATGAATACAATTAGTTTTCCTTTGTTTAGTGATGCATGATCAAAAATTTGGATTTCATTGGAAATTGATTTAAATTTAATCTTAGGCAAAAAAAATCAAAATTTTTAATAATTTGTATTATTTTAAAAAATTTGAATTTCTTTTTTTTTAAATCAATTATTTTTAAAGTTCTTTCCTTTTCTTTTTCCTCCTTCCTCCTCCGCGACCGGCCAGCAACAGCCACAGGCGAGCACGAGGCTCGCCTGGATCGACCGAGCCTCAAGTTCGTTGGCTTGCATCTTGGCCAGTCGCTAGGCAGGCCGTCGCCGAGGCACATAGTCGGTGGAGGAAAAATAAAGGAAAATAAAGAAAAGAGAAAAGAAAGAAAGACAGAAGGAAAAAGAAAAGAAGAGAAAAAAATAAAAGAAATTAAAAATTCAATTTTTTGGAAAAAATATTTTTATAAGAACAAACATTTCATTAACCAAGGGTCCAAACCTGAGCATTGAGGACCCGCACACGGCCTTTGCAGACTTGGGCCTGCGGGTTGGGACTAGAGTTCGAGCGTCAAAGACCCGAGGACGACCTTTATGGAATCGAGTTCAGGTGTTGGAGTATCGGATACGGGCATCAGGGATTCGGGCCTGGCCTCGATGGACCCAAGCGTGGGCACCGGGGGCCGGGCTCAGGACACTGAGGTCTCGGGCCTAGCCTTGATGGACTTGGGCCTGGACACTAAAAACATGGTCCTGAATTTCGAGATCCGAGAACCAATGTTGAGGTTTTCATGCTCAAGTATAGAGTTTCGGATTCAAGTGCTGCTAATCATATTTTGGAAAACTTTTTTCGGTTCTTTCAAAGATAAAATCATTTTCCTAAATTTAAGCTTTAGTAGAAAAATATTTTCCGTTGACTCGTTTTTCTAAGTAAATTAAATGCCGAAAAATGAGAAAAATATTTTTTTGAAAAATGTTTTTCGTGAAATAAGTACCCTAAGTAAGGTGTTGGTTCCGCCACTAAATACACTGTCAAGTGGTAAGGGAATTGGGGATGGGGCGCTAGTATTATAGATGTAGGATTGGATTTTTACACTTGATAAAGAGGCAGAGCAAAATTAATGAGACGAGAGTTAAAGATAAGAAACACTAAAAAAGAAAGACGTGTTGTTTCCTCGTTCAAAAACGACGAGAACTAAGTAGGACAAATAATTTAACTAGAAGGACACGTAAATATCTATACGGAAGGACTATAGTGATAGATATCCACTGCCAACGTAGGGACCACCACAAACAATGTCGCCAACCACAAATTTATAATTTAACTAGAAGGACACGTAAATATCTATACGGAAGGACTATCGTGATAGATTTCCACTGCCAACGTAGGGACCACCACAAACAATGTCGCCAGCCACAAATTTATAATTTAACTTGAAGGACACGTAAATATCTATACGGAAGGACTATCGTGATAGATTTCCACTGCCAACGTAGGGACCACCACAAACAATGTCGCCAGCTACAAATTTTCAATCCGTTTCTTTTCTTCTTGCAATAAATTTTGAGCTTACAACCTTCCCAGGGATCATTCCCTTTTCCTCGGAGCTTCTACACATTTTATGCTGCAAATATGGACTCTCTGCTTCAAGACCCATCCCACTTGTCCGGAATAATCCTAGCGATCCTCGTCCTATCAGTCCTTGTATTATTCAAATCGAGATCATCAAGCAAGCTCAAAACACCACCAGAAGCCGCAGCCGCATGGCCCGTCATAGGTCACTTGCCCTTGTTAGCGAAATCCAAGCTTCCCCACAAGACCTTGGCGTTCATGGCCGACCAGTATGGACCCATCTTCACCATCCGGCTCGGGATGTTCCCGGCCCTAGTGGTGAGCAGTTCCGAGATGGCCAAGGAGTGTTTCACCAAGAACGACGTCGCATTGTCCACTCGGCCACGGCAATTGGCCGTAGAGATCCTGGGCTATGGCTACGCCGTGTTCGGATTCGCACCATACGGCCCGTACTGGCGCGAGATGAGGAAGATGGCCACCTTGGAGCTGCTCTCAAACCAGAGGGTCAAGTTGTTGCTCAACCCTACTCTGGCCTCGGAAGCGGACATGGCCATTCAAGAGCTGCACGAGCTTTGGATTGAGAACAAGGACCATTCAGGTGATGGTTCTTCTGATATTGATGACCATTCGATATGTTGTTTTGGTTAATCTTGATGACAGGCCTTTTCATGGTCGTTTTTATAATTTTTCTTTTTTCGGTAAGCAACGGTCGTTTCATAGTATAGATGAGCTAGCTGAAGAAATGGTTGAAATTGAAATTCACAGAGTCTTCTTACTACCTTATAGTACGTTTATGTCTGTTTAATAAAATAAAGGCTCCACTTAATTATTTCCATACCGGCAGACAAAGAAAATCTGATGCTTGTGCTATCTTAGTCAATGGGATTTATTTGGAAATGGACACCCTAAATGAAGTGGTGAATCTTGTGAGGTATTCAACGAAGTCCATGTTCTAATAATTTTCGGGATTTGGTTGACGGTTCGGGAACGACTCCCCTGTGGTTTACATGCAATACAGGTTCGGTTCTTCTAGCAATAAATGCAAATACAAAGAATCGCATACTTCGCTCACTCATCTAGGTCTTGATTCGCATCTTTCGCATCTTTCTTGGTTCATAATTCATGAGACTAGCTAGAGTATTTGCAGTTACTCGATCACCTACCCATGAGTTTTCTTGCCGTAAAAAAAATTACATAGAATGACAAAGGAGGTCAATGAAGTATTTTCCAAGATTGAGTGTTCGTTTCGTCTATCCTTTTAGTTCACGAGAATAATCATAACATCTAGTTCATTCTGATTTATTAGGCCATGTCACAGTCGACTTGACGCAGTGGTTTGCAAAGTTGACTCTGAACGTGATCATCAGAATCGTGGCCGGAAAGCGCTACTCCGCGGCGGACGAGGAAGAGGAGCAGCGGTGCCAAAAGGCGTTACGGGAGCTCTTCCGCTTCTTTGGGATGTTCTTAGCGGCAGACGCTCTTCCTTTCCTGAAGTGGCTCGACTTAGGTGGACATGAGAAGGCCATGAAGAGGACTGCAGAAGAACTAGATGAAATTATAGGTGGTTGGTTAGAGGAGCACAAGAGGAATAATAAAGATCTGAGTGAGACCAATGGTAATGGAGATTTCATGGACGTCATGCTTTCGGTCCTTAAAGACAAGGAGAATGGAGGTTATGATGTTGATACGATTATAAAAGCTACATCCTTGGTAAGTTTTTGTTCCCTCGCTCTTAGAGTAGTCTTTTCTTCTTCATAATGCTAGTTGCCCACATATCAACGTAGGCAGGAGGCGATTATCCATAGCTTTAGTTATTTTCAACCACATGGTCCAGATGATCCGGTTCAAGAGCTGAAACCACATAAATTGATTAGGAAGGGATTCTAGAAAACCTAGAATTAAGAATCACATTGATTTATCGATTTAGCCATGTCGAATTTACTCACTACTTGTAAATCAAATTAATGTTTGAGAGACATTCAATAATTCTTTTTATGTCTTCTTGAAAGCAAAGCCTAAATTTCTCTAAGTATGTTAGCCCATTACTAAGTTTTTTACCATATTCTTCAATAAATTTACAAATTCTGGGATACGTTTGTTTCACGGAAAATGAATAATTTGTAAAATATTTTTTTAAAAATAATCGCTTGTATCATTTACAAAAATAAATGAACAAAAACTATATTCGTCATCCACGAAAATGTTTAAACATAAATTGTTGTCGACAATGAAAACATTTTTCATTGACCAATTTTTTTAAGTGATACAAACAATTATTTTTAGGGAAATATTTTTCTAAATCATTTATTTTTTGCGAAACAAACGAATTCTTTACGTGATCTTCTCGTGATAATATGAATTTCCTAGAACTAGCTTGGAAACTCGGTGGTAATATTTAGAAGGAGAGATAACATGTTGAGCGACATGTTATACATTGTTGATTTGGTTTCTAACTTCTTCGGAAAACGATAAAGTCTAAGACGAGCCAAATCTAATTTTAAGCGTTCTATCCCGTGACTTATAAGTAGGAGTCCATGCCTTCCCCATTTGGTTACCTCGTTAAGTCTACTTAAAATAAAAGTCGAGGGTGCAATTAAAAGAAATTAAATTAGAGTTACTTTTATTTCCCATGTCGTACATCGTTTTAATTCCCAATTTCTCGAAACATAGACTTAAACAATATGGTGGCTCGTTGCCATAGTGCCTTTTCTATTTTTGTGGATACTTAAACTAAACATGAAATTTAGAAAGAATTAATCAGACTTATATAAGTCCGTTTGATAGGGACAGGGAAATTGTACAATCAGTTCTAAGCATGTTTTATATATGACAATTCAATTCTAAATTTTTTAATTTTTTTCCGGACTATGCATTATGAGGATAGAGCAATATACTCAGAAGAATTGGGCAGGAGTGGAGCTTGAATAACAGGTCAGGGTCATAGACGATTTGGGCCAACTATGAAGTTTCCTCATGAATGTAGCAATTCTTATGCATTCATCACTTATATTATTTTGGGCTTATTTCTATTTTCATTGAGATAAAGTTCAAATCTAAAGATGAGGCTATTTCCACTCCCTATATGATTAAATCCATCGTATATCCACCAGTTACAAAAAATTGCCAATGATGATTTTATCTTTGTACAGTTTTCTTTAATTTAGTTATTTTCCTATTATGGATTTCTTTCAAATTTAAACTCATTGTTGTTTAGAAAATAAAATAATTAGCCACTTTTTCACCATTACTCTTATCGCAATTTATTAAATTTTTCGTCACTTCTACCTGAGAGCATCACTTTTTTGTGAATCTGTTGTTTGTTATTTGATTAGTCTCATATAAAATATCAAATCTCTTTAGTTCCTATATAAAAAAAAATTTAATGAGATAATTTTACATAGAGTATCTAAGAAATTCTATGAGTGTCTACAAATTCTCTAAAAAAAATGATGTAAAAACAGTTCTACACATCGAGGCACCTTAATATTTTTTTCGTAAACACTTTATAGATGATATTGATTTTTTAATCTCAAATTAATCAAATTTAACAGTCCTTTTTATTTTTTTCTTATTTCATGCAAAACTTTAATTTCATATTTTAAATTTTCCGATTAGGGAATATAACGATGATTTTAATTTAACAAATCTTTAAAAAGGGCTGTTTTTTGTTTCATTTTTTCCTGTAACCCACTATGTGTATGTAAAAGACAATTGTTAAGAAAAAAGTTTCGCAGTGATATTTACAACAAAAATAAAAGTTCATAACATTTGACTATGGTAATTAATATTCTTGACAACGTAGAAAAGAATTAGGTTTTTTGAAATTTCTTGTATGTTAATGCCCAATAAATTTTTTTAAATAAAAAAACATATGATTCATAACTATGGAAACTAAACCCAACATAAAATAGAAAAATAAAAAATAAGAATGAAAGTGAATAAATTTGAGATTCACCACTTTAAATATTAATTTCGATGATTAGGCAAAATTTGGTCTCTTAAATGAGAATATGATGAATTTAGTAATATTGTAGGAGGAAGGAGCCTCACCCCAAATTTGATCCACTCATTTGTGCAGTTTCTTACTAATTGGATCTTCAAACTTCTTTTGGTGCAAATTAGGTTCCCTAACTCACTTGATTAGTTAATTCCTCTTTTAATTATCATATTTATTTATGTTAATCTGGTTCTTTTTTATGTGCCTAATTTAATATTATAAAAAGTGAAATGTATTTTAAAGTTCTAAATGGGCCTAAGGAAGTCAATTACAAACTTGCGTTATCTTGTACCACTTTTTTCCAGCCCATCAAGTGGGAGGGCAAATGATCTTAGATTGCGAATTGCGTTGTAGTTAATCTTCATATCTCACTTCTAACGAGGAACATATGTTGCTCGTATGTGAAGATGGTGATTATGGGCGGCAGTGATACCACAATGGTCACCCTGACATGGGCGATCTCGCTGTTGCTCAACAACCTTCACATCCTGAAGAGAGCTCAAAACGAGCTCGACACTCAGATCGGCAAGCAGAGGCATGTGAAAGAAGCGGACATTGCCAGCCTGACCTATCTCCAAGCCATAGTGAAGGAGACCCTCCGATTATACCCGGCAGCCCCAATCTCGGGGCCGCGCCTGTTCACCGAGGATTGCACAGTGGGCGAGTACCACGTGCCCAAGGGCACGAGGTTGATATTGAACATCTGGAAAATCCAAACCGACCCTAGGACATGGCCCGATCCATTGGAGTTTAGGCCCGAGAGGTTCTTGAGCAGCCATAAGGACGTCGATGTGAAGGACTCCAACTTTGCGCTCCTACCATTTGGAGGCGGCAGGCGAATTTGTCCCGGAATATCTTTCGCACTCGAGATGGTGCATTTTCTTCTAGCCAGGTTCTTACAAGCATTCGAGATAGCCACCGTGGATGATTCACCGGTGGATATGTCTGAGATCTTCGGACTTACGAATTTAAAGGCGACCCCACTTGAAGTTATGCTCAGGCCAAGATTAACTCAGAACACTATCAATTGAGGTAGTGGGGAGTTTATTTATGAAAGAAAAGCTCTTGGAAATGTACAACTAAGCGAATGTGTACGCACTCTCTCCATGCGTGGCTCATGGAAGACATAATCACATATCTAGACTCTTCGGGTTGGAGTTGCTGACCCTGTAACTTCACTTGCATGAAAAAGCTGATCCGTTCGTGATTGCATTGCGATGTCAAATGTCATTACTATCGTTCACCACTTGCATGCAATACTGTGTGACCTGTCGTGTATGGACTCATTCATGCTTTCCTTGCCCAAATGCCAATAAGATCTGACCATTCAATCTCATATAGCCATACACATAGTTATCATCCATTGGATGATTGCAATGTATTTCTTCCCCCTCTGCGCTACTTGGCCCTACTTACCTCACTATCTACCAACATACTTCTCTCACACGTATGAACGCGCGCGCATGCGTACATATAAATTGAAAGATTCGAATCTTGCAATTATATGCTCTGTCCAAACAGTTGAAAAATCAATCTTCAAAGAAAGAGCTTGAGTGGTTGCTTAATTTTAATGCAGCAAATTTCGTATTTGTGAGTAATCTTTGAGAGCCATGCATGTCACCCTCTCAGTGGAGTCTTACGTGATGCATGTGGATGTGACGATTTGCATATATTCTTGGAATTTGTCAAGCCAAAATTCAAAAGACGTGCTACGATAGAAAAGGCCGCGGTAAAATCCAGACACTTCATTGATTTATCATACTGATCTATCCACTTAATTTCGTCACATTTCTACGTTAAGCTCATGTAATAAAAGCGGCAAACAAGTTACATAAGCTAATATATTCTTTTTCGAAAAATCTCAAAAACTATCTCCACTTTTCATCCTCATATCAGTTAATATTATTAGTTTTGGATACTTTTTGCGTTTCCAAAGGAAATCCCCAAACTAAAGGACCAATCTACCCCTCAAACACATTTATACGCGGATCGGAAATCTCTCTCTCTCTCTCTCTCTCTCTCTCTCTCTCTCTCTCTCTCTCTCTCTCAAGGTTGGGCTAGACGAGGGGTTGAGCTTGGCCCAGATCTAATTGAGCTCGATGCTACCATAGCTCGATTACATCTGGTCGAGCTCTACACCTTAACGGAGATGGAACCATATTTGGGACTGGGAGTTTGACCGTTCCGATGTCATGCCGTTTGTTGATGTTAGGCAAAGAGGGGTGTGTGAGAGAGAGAGAGACAGGGAGAGAAAGGGGGTGTCATGACAGATGGTGGTGAAATCGAATTAAGCTACCTCTGAGTAGCTCGTGTTCGGCTCGTTGACTGCTTGAGATTGACTTGCCCATTTTTGAGTCAAGCTCGAGTTCGAGCTACTTTGAGTCTCTTGTCGAGTCAACCACGAGCCTATTGGTACTCAACTAGATTAGTCACGAGCCCAATTGAATTTTCATTATTTTTCCAAAAATAATTATTACTTATAAAAAATAGACATTATATACTCAAAATACATGACATTCTACTTTATTAAACTCGAGCTGAAACTTTATTTATAAATCTAATAATAATCAGGTTGAGTTTAGTCGAGTCAAGCTTGAGTATATTATTCTCTAATCGAGTCAAATTCGAGCAAGAAAATTGATAGTCAATCAAGCTCAAATCAAGTTTCGAGCACTACATAAGTCAAGGTTATACAGCTAATGACGGAGAAATAGGGATGGAGGGATGAACAAGTGCAGCCAGAGGTGCCTGTCAGTGATGAGGCAGTGGATTGGCTTGAGGCACCAAGTGGAGATTTATAGCCGTCATGGGCGGAGCCGAGGGGGAGGGGCTGAGCTTGGCATGGGTTAGGGTTTTTGTTATTGGGAAAACATCTTTATGAAATTTTGATAATTCTAAAACTATCCTTAGTATTAATATATTCATGATAAGTGCATATGTTCGTGGTTATTTCATGAAAGGCCATGATGATACCAATGGTCTTAATGAGTTTAGTGAAGATTGATTACAAGGATTAAGATCTTGATAGTTGGTGAACAAGTCAGATATGACAAAGTGTTCGTGAGGACTTGGAGATATGATGATCGATCTGTCACCAACATAAAGTCTTTGGAAGTTGACATACTTGGGAGGATCATTAGATGATTGATCACTTGTCATTCCACACAGTTTGACAGTTCACAACATCAACAGACTAATAATAACGAGCACGTGCTACAATTGACTAATAGGGAGCATTATACCGCATTGATATCAAGTCTTGAGAGATTATGGCAAACATGTTTGTTTAAGGAGCATCGTTAGACATAAAGGTCGACATAGCCATTGACAAGCTAAGAAACCAGAACAGAGGAACCAGGAATGAGTTAGAGAACAGTTGACAATTATGATCAAACAATCAGATGAATAGTAGATGTGATAGCTTTAGCAGACTCCAGATTTGGAAACCTTGCTATTGCTGCGGGAACATATTGTATGGGAAATTGAGATCTCGGCAATTGCACCAATCAACATCCAACAGCTCCTAACTCTTCAAAAGAGTTTCCAAAGGTTGGATTAAATATGTATATAAGAAGAGGATCGAAGAAGCTTAAAAAGGTCGTAAGGAAAAGGAGTATACTAGCGTTCTTCATTGTCATTTCTCACTAGCGATCAAAATTGTAATTCTATTCCTGTGAAATTCTTTGTAGAGTTCTTGCTGGCTTGTGATCATGATAAGATCAAGTGTACAATAGTGATAGCAGTACTTATGCCCTAATAGGGTGATGTATCATTTGATAGGATCAATACATACTAATTGTAACTTGTATTAAAGATTACCAGTAAAATCCAACCCGTATCAAGGTTGTTACCTAAAGAGTGGACGACACTTGAGGATAAAGCCGAACCATTATAAATTGTTATGTGCTATCTTTAAATTGATGATTATTATCTGTATCTATTTGATAGCATCACTTGCACATGTCACCTTTAATCTATTTCATATTACTGTCAAAATATATTTTTCTTCTTTCCCGAAGGATTTTCAAATTGTTAAAAAAAAACTATTCCCCCCCCCCCCCCCCTTCTCCCCCAGTGACGCCTCAGAACATTAAGAGCGACACGTTTTTGTTCCGATTATATACATAATTATTAATAGCATGTAGAAATGCAAAAAATATTCACATCATCCCATACAAAGGATCACGCGAGTTTAATCAAAGTACGTATACTTCTTTTATAAAAACATTAGTAGATATCGGAGAAAAGTGTCAAAAAAGTCTCAAACATTTTGTATTTGTGCCAATTTAGTCCTAAACCTTTTGTTGATGCCAATTCAATCCTAAACCTTTTGCATTGGTGCTAATTTAGTCATAAACCTTTTTTTTGTGCCAATTCAGTCCTAAACCTTTTGCATTGGTGCCAATTCAGTTCTAAACATTTTACATTGGTGCCAATTCGGTCCTTCTGGCTAATAGCTATTCACGTGTCAAAGGACTGAATTTGCACTAATGCAAAAAGTTTAAAACTGAATTGGCACAAATGTAAAAGGTTTAGGACTGAATTAGCACCAAAAAAGGTTTATGACTAAATTGGCAAAAATGCAAAAGGTTTAGGACTGAATTGGTACAAATGCAAAAGGTTTAGGACTGAATTGACACCAAAAAAAGGTTTAGAACTAAATTGGTATCAATGCAAAAGGTTTAAGACTTTTTTGATACTTTTCCCATAGATATCGACTTTATACAACGTCCAAGCAAAACACAAATTATATAAGTCTTGAGAAAGGGTCAGGGTCACCTATCATCAACACACCACTCCTATGCCCAAAAACCCGCTTGTACAAAAGTCAAGCTATTCACTACAAGGCGACAACCTCGTCCATCAACATGTCGCCTTCACCATCAAAGCCTCTCAATGGTCCAACCAACTCACCGTCGATATTTCAATACCAAGTGACGAATCTATAGGGAATCCACTTTTGAAACCCCACATCGACCCATACGGTAAAACTACACTTAGTATATACAACCTCTGATCTAGGTACAAGCACATCTTGATATTTACAATCAAAGTACATGGGAGTTCCAAAAAGCAGTGGAGGTGGGAAGTCCATCCTACAAGTCTATCAAAAGAAAGGGATGAGCCAAAACTCAATAAATGAAATTTCTAAATATAAGTTAAGATCCTCTTACCTCTCAACCTGGTACCAACAAATAACGTGAGTTCCAAATTAGCGCAAAATAATCATTTATGACCAATGCAAATGCAAATGCACTATCTTTCCTATCATGAAATGTTGATGGAAAACATTAACAACACTATGCAAGCGGATGACATTATGTCATGATACGTAGATAGCACATGGTGTATATATATATATATATATATCGGTGAGTTTTAAACTACTACACGTCACTGGTCAGGACCTATCTCAACTCACGAGGCATCTTGATCGTCGAGGTATCGTCACCACCAATTCACGGGGGACAGAATCATATATACCCATTTGTTACATCTTTTAGCCCATCCACCATGGGTGTCCTCTACATCAATGATGATAAAGACACCACCGTACATCTGCATGATGGTCATTTCCTAACATTATACCATGGCTACACAAGCCATGTCATTATAAGATTTCATGTCATCTCAATCTTAAAAGAGACCCATCTCATACGATAAAACATTCGCTCGGTAGCAGATAGGTCGTGGCAAATGTCTTTATCATGTGGTATCAAAAGCATACACATTATTATAACACAACAATTGAAATATGCATCACAATAATTTGCCATTTCTCATGAAATTAATGATAAATAAATAATTAAAAATCCGTACTGAGTCCGGGACGTGTTAGGCTTCTAGTTTGAACTAATCAGGTCCGGATTTGCACATCTAAAAGGGGTGAACCATCTCCCCGAGAAAATATTAGGTAAGTTTATCTTGTCACGTTAATGATAAAACACTCCATTAAGCTCTTGCCACGTGTTCATACGGACCCACTTTTTATGACTTTTTAAATGCTCCATCTTCTTTGTTACCCTATCTCTCTTTCCTCTGTTACTCTCGTCTCATCTGTACATCAACCGCCATCACCAACCCTCTATCACTTCATACCAAAAACACAAAAAGTTCCATTCACTGCCTTTTTTTCTTCTTCTTCTTCTTCTTCTTCTTCTTCTTCTTCTTCTTCTATCCTCTCAGCTTGGACGCCAAGAAAATGTGGGACT